TGTTATTCGGGAACATACTTGTCAATGTGAGCCACTCTGCTTGACAAGTTGAGCTTCCCGACTCTCGATGTAAGACTGATGAAAAAAGGAAAAAGAAAAGTTGAACGTAATGTAATGTGAGTTGCTCGGGGATGTACTTTCTTGGCAAGTTGAGTTTTCTGACTCTCGATATGAGATTGATGAAGAAAAGTTGAATGCAATGTAATACGAGTTGCTTGGGGATGTACTTGCCAACTTGGGCCACCTTGCTTGGCTAGCTGAGCTTTCCGACTCTTGTGAGATTGAAGAAGAAAGTTAAATATAATGTAATACGAGTTGCTTGGGACATACTTGCCAACTTGGGTTACCTTGCCTGGCTAGCTGAGCTTCCTGACTCTCGATGTGAGATTGGTGAAAAAAGAAAAAGTTTAATGTAATGTAATGCGAGTTGCTCGAGGACGTACTTGCCAACTTGAGCTACCTTACTTGGCAAGCTGAGCTTCCTGACTCTCGACGTAAGATTGATGAAAAAAGAAAAGTTTAATAACCAATTTAGATAGCCTGATTTAGGATCGAACACTACAATGTGAGATGAAAAAAAAAAAAAAAGAGAAAAGGGGAAACGAACGTGTATATTCGTGTTGAGGTTGAATAAGGCATACAAATATGTATATTTGTGTGTGTATAGATTGAGGCAGCTGTATATACCCCACACTGCTCTCAAAATAAAAGGGTAACGGTATATAGGTATAGCACAGATATATTATTGGCTATGGAAAAAAGAAAAAGGAAACGAATGCACATGTTCGTGTAGAGGTATATGAACGTGTATGTTCGTGTATATATATATTAAGGCAGGTGTAAACACCCCACACTGCTCTCAAATTAAAAGTTATTGATATATAGGTATAGTAAAAATATATTATTGGTCACTAAAAAGAAAAGATAAAGATGAACACGCATGTTCGTATAGAAGTATAGATGAGGTATACAAACATGTATGTTCATACATATTATAGGTTAAGTCAGATGTGTACACCCCACACTGCTTGCAAATTAAAGAGTAATGGTATATAGGTATAGCAAGGATATATTATTGGCCACTAAAAAAGACAAAAAAAAGAAAACAAATGCGCATGTTCGTATAGAAGTATAAATGAGATATATGAACGTATATGTTCATGCATATATTGGTCAAGGCAGGTGTGTACACTTCACACTGTTTGAAAATTAAAGGTTAATGGTATAGGTATAGCACAGATATATTATTGGAGATGGAAAAAAGAGGAAAGAAAAACAAACAAAGTAAATTTTAAGTTTTTTTACTATTTGATCCAAAAAAAGAGATTTGTATTATCTCAAAAATCTGATATTTTAAAAACTGCATACTTGGTAGATTTAAAAACTGCATGTTTGGTTAAATTAATTTTGCTAATCTTTCTAGTTTTAAGTAATATTCATAGTGAATCCGAAATACAAAACTTTACGAAATCTGTGATAATCTCATCCAGGCTAGTGACTTGAAAGAATTATTAAGAAAAGTACAACATTCCTACATTTGAAGATTTGAGATTTGAGTCTCTGAAAAATTAAAATTCCAAGTAATGATAGATTGACTTTTACAATATGAATTGTATATATTCAGTTTTCAGATTTTTAAATAATCGGTAAGTTCTTGATTAGTATTTTGTTTTTTTAACCAAGCATTACTGAGTAAAATAATGAACTATATAACATTTTATTGGTAATTCTAATATTCATTGCTTTATACTTAATAGCAGAACCAACTTCTAGCTTGCACTAGTAGAAGAATTATTGATTATTTTATTCAAAAATATATGATTTAATTTAAATGATGCTAGTATTGGGAATGATATTATAAACTATTGTACAATTTATATATATATAATAGGAAATTCTATTTTAATCTGGTCAAAATGACCCTCAGCAAATTTTAGGGTTAGTGCGGGCCAGAATTATGTTGATGCCGGCCAGGGTTTTTAATACAAAACCTGGCCGGTATTAATATAATTCTGGTCTGCACTAACCCTAAATTCTAGAAGGGGTCATTCTGACCCGAGTCAAAATAGAATTTCCTTATATAATATTTATCAATTCTAACACGAGGAAATTACAAAATTAGTTGTTATAGTATGTTGTATTTTCAGATTAGATATGTGTAACATAATAATTTATAGCAGCATTTACAGAGTATCTTGTAAGAAAGATAATTAATAAAAATAAAGATCATAAAGGAGAGATAATGAAAAATAAAAGAGATAATGAAATATTGTACTCCAGATTGAAATTGTTTTGATTTAGAAGCAGCTTCTGAATGCAAATTTTTTTTAGCAAGATTAGGGCTTTAAGGTTTATAATAAAAACAACTGTTGTGGCTAAAGCTAAGATTGGTTGATATTGTGATTTAATTTATTTTGCTATGAAATTTAAAAATTTTGGAGTATATTTTGTTAGTTTTTCTTAAGTTATTGACTGATTTGAATAATCTTCCCAGTAATGCACTTCACTAGATATATAAAATTATATATAATTAATGCTCTTCACTAAACATATGAAATTATATATAATTAATACTCTTCACTAGAAATATGAAATTATAATAATTGACATACTTTATTAAATATATGAAATTATATATAATTGATATATTTCATTAAACATATAAAATTATATATAATTAATGCGCTTTATTAGATATATAAAATTATATATAATTGATATATTTATTAGACATATGAAATTATATATAATTGATGTTCTTTATTAGACATATAAAATTATATATAATTGATACTCTTCATTAGACATATGAAATTATATATAATTGATATGCTCTAATCTGGGAAGATTGAATGTAAGAGTATATATAGATTTTAGCAAGTTTAGTAGACTTGAATTGTGTCTTCAACAATCAGCCATGACAAGAGCTTTCAAAATTCTTATCTGAGACTGTTCTGAGCTAAATCAGAACAATTCTTATCTGAAGTACAACAAAAATATTAGAAGTTCATAAAGTGGGATAAAGAAAATATCAGAAGAGAAATCTGCATTATTGACTTAAAGAGATCAGGTTAAGTGAGCAAGCTTCAAAAAAATTTGGAATATTAGGAGCCTTGAAGTATATCAAATGGTGAACAATTTTTATATTATATCATAAGCAATTTTTTTGCATTTATTTATTAGTTCTTTCTTTAACAGATTGCTTTCAAGACTAAAAATGAATCTTTCAAGTTGCATGAACTAGTTGATAAGATATTGTAGCAGTTGTCTAAACAAGAAGATATTTGTAATAGACAAGTGAGCTAAATAATATGCACTTGACACTATAAAAAAGTGGTCACATAATTATAATGATGAGATAGTGATTTGTACAAAACACTAGATAATTAATAAAAGGGTGCTATTTTTATTTTTATATTTAGTTTATTTATTGAAATAAGTCTGAAAAAGAGACTAAATATTTATACAAGCTACTGTTTGATTAATTATATTTTTTAATCTATAATATCTTGTAATTAGTAAAATTAGAAGTCTTAATTTCTTTTCTAGAGCATATATAAATGCATATCAGCCGATTTTGACAAGAAAATTTAATCTTTCTAGTAATACAATTTATTAAATATATGAAATTATATATAATTGACATGCTTTAACCTAGGAAGATTGGTTTTCATTATCAAAATCAGACAATATAGCTATTTTAATTAGATAAAGTATATTACATATATTAATATATATTAATTACCCATAAATTACAAGATCTATTATAAAAATAATTTATTTATTTATTAGATAAACTATATATTTACAACAAATTTATTATGTGGGTGTTTGGATTATTATATAAATATTTAGCAAAATTTTTTTGTTAAAGTCCAAAAGATGGTTTTATAAACAAAATTTTGAAATATTTTTAACTTTTTAAAATTATATGATATTAATAAAATTTTATTAATATATGTTTGTATATATAGTATTTAAATAAAAATCACTATTTAAAAAACTTAAAAAAATTGATTATAAAATAATTTAATAAAGTTGTTTTATATACTAACTAAGATTTTTTGTAAAATAATAATATGTATATATTATACTAATCTTTAAATTTATGCTAAAGATATATTTCAAACCCAATAGTAAAATTTTTGTCAAATTAGCTATAAGCTAGTAAAACCTATTATAATTATCAATAAAATTAAAATCTACTTTTATATAATAAATATAATTAAATCTATATTTTGACTACTAATATTATATACAGTATTTCTATTAATAAGGGATGTGACAAAAATCAGGTAATTTTTTAAGAAGGAGGGGGTAAAAAAAGTTAAAATTATATATCAGAACCTGATTTTTTTATATTAAGAGGGGAGGGGGTAAGCCTCTGATAAAAAATAATCAGGTAATAAATAACACTGCCCTAATATCTAAAATTATGCCTGTACTTTTAATAAATACCTAATATAATTGTTCATGCCTCTGATAGTTCTGTGAACTTTGTACTTATGCCTTTAATAGTACTCACAATGTCTCTTAAGTTTAGTTCACACATAGTACATCTTTAATAAAAATATTATCACAACAGCATACATGATAAATTGAATACCCAGATCTAGTATGTCTGTATATAGAGCCTACTATTTGTAGATCTTACATACTACAGTTTACAGTTAATATAAAATTTTGTACTAATGTCTTCATCTTCATCAGATTTGCAGAAAATTGAGATTTAGACTCATATATATATAGGTTATAAAAAGTTAACTGTTATATTAAGCAAATCAAATATCAAGTTTTTATCTTTTTTTATAATCATTCTATTCAAAGAATTGTTTGAATGAACACATGTTTAGCTTTGTGAAGCCTATAGCGAGACTTTATAGTGTGACAAAATTTAGATTTATATACATTACAATTTACTAAATTGTATGCATGTAACATATTGTTATTATATATAATGATTACACAAGACAAAATATTTTGTTTTATATGATATAGCTTGTAGGTTTACCAACATTTCACTGACAATTAATTTTTTGACAACCATTTCTCTAACAATTTTTTCACTGACAAAACTATTTTCTTGACAACTATTTCCCTGACAACATTTTCCTCAACATAACCATTTCTGACAACTACTTCCCTGATACAAATCACTTTCTCAACATAGTTATTTCCGCAACAACCATTTCCCTGACATAACTATTTCTCTGACAACCACTTCTTGATATCCATTTCTCTGATATAACTATTTCTCTGAAATAACCATTCCTCGATATAACTATTTCCTCAACATAACCATTTTCCTGACATAACTATTTCCCTGATATAACCATTTCTCTGATATAACTATTTCCCCACATAACCATTTCCCTAACATGACTGTTTCCCTAACATGACCATTTCTCTGACTTAACTATTTCTCTGATATAACTATTTCTCTGACTTGACAATTTTCCTGACATGATTATTTCTCTGGCATGATCATTTCCTGACATAGCTATTTCCCTGACATAACTATTTTCCTGATATGACCATTTTCCCACATAACTATTTCCCTGACATAACT